TATCGCTTTTCTTGAACCATAACGTAACTTTTTAAATAATTAAATCTATTTAAATAACCTAACATTTATCAACTTAAATAGAAGGTCACTGCCTGATCCCTTGGAAAATCTTACCTTTGAAATTTGACAGGCACTTTAAACATCAGCTTAATCGTATAATATTAATATCGATTGTTGAAACATCTGTAGCTCACATGTCTTAGAAAAACCATAGGGCCAGTCAACAACACTGTCATATACTTCGTGCTCAAGTGGTTTTTGTACAACTATCCCTTGATTTGTCTTTACTTTGACGCACATCTATAATTAAGGCATTGTAGTGACCGTTCGGTACAGCACTTAGCTCCCACGCTGCATGCGGCATGACCTTGTGACGGAGCTTCGATGCGGATTCCGATGTTTATTTGATCCGTTAAATGATTTATCTTCTTGCCACAAATACCTGGTGAATTATGCATTGCACTGTACCCTGTAAATGAATCTTGCTTATTGCAGTGTATGGACCATCCAGGATTGGTTTAAGGTGAGCTACAGGGCATAGCACCAAGGATTTCTTAATCCAATGATCTAGCTTCATCCATACACGCTCGAAACTATGTCTAAGTTGATTGGATCAGCTGACGTTTATCGCTCTGATTGATTTGCTGTTACGCATCACATCGCGGATCTCCTGGGTGGAGGTTTTGAGTAAAATGAGACAGATTCAAAATGACAAGTGTCTTCATGCATATTCGTTGCACAGAACTACTTCAATGTTGCTCTCTACTGGATCATATCCCGAACCCAATTCTACCCTCTTGAATTCTCGCGAATACTAGAGTCAGAACGTTCGTAACGGCTGTTATGATGTCAGCAGGCAACGACTTCCGTTTACGACTCTTTAATTGGCACAGCAAAGAACAAAACATACAATAAGGGTTCACAGAAAAAGGAGGGAAATGATTTAGTATTTATCCAGAAGTGCTTAGGCGCATATTGGCGTTGATTTATGATCCTAAGCACCGGATGAGTGGCGTAAGATCTTTCAGAGACCCGTTTGTTAATCCATGGGATACAAAGAGCATAAATCTTGTCACTTGCTTCTTGTCCTGGCGGCGTCATGAAATCGAACCCTTTCGTCCACATAAAGAACCCGAAGCCCGCTATATAACGTCAAGTCTGAAATTGGTCTATCGGCCAAACGGTGTAAAAGCAAGTGTTTCCGTATACTGCCTACCTGATCTTCTGCAAACTTGTACCAATCAGCAACAGTTTTAAACTCATCTTAAGGCATTATTCATTTGACAGTAATTTGACTACATTTGAATGCTGATGGGACTAGTGATGCTGACGTAGAATGAAAAGGTTTCAGTGAGATGGAATTATATCCTTTCTACAAGTCCACACTAAATACTAGACACTTTTCGAAGCATGGCTGC